ACCAAGTCCAGTGTTGAAAGAAGAGTGTTTCTTGGGGCAACTCCATGGGCAATCAGGGAGGACAGGACTAGGTGAACTTTTAAAAAACATTTTTTGGGAGCTGAGCTGTAGCTCAGTGGTAGGGAGCTTGCCTAGCATGTGTGGGGGGGAGGGGGGTTAGGTTAGTTTCCAGCTCTGCAAAAAAGAAATTTTATTTTAATTTTTATTTTTTTATTATTCATATGTGCATACAAGGCTTGGTTCATTTCTCCCCCCTGCCCCCACCCCCTCCCTTACCACCCACTCCACCCCTTCCCTCTCCCCCCCTCAATACCCAGCAGAAACTATTTTGCCCTTATTTCTAATTTTGTTGTAGAGAGAGTATAAGCAATAATAGGAAGGAACAAGGGTTTTTGCTGGTTGAGATAAGGATAGCTACACAGGGCATTGACTCACATTGATTTCCTGTGCGTGTGTGTTACCTTCTAGGTTAATTCTTTTTGATCTCACCTTTTCTCTAGTTCCTGGTCCCCTTTTCCTATTGGCCTCAGTTGCTTTAAAGTATCTGCTTTAGTTTCTCTGTGTTGAGGGCAACAAATGCTAGCTAATTTTTTAGGTGTCTTACAATCCTCATATCTCTCTTGTGTGCACTTGCTTTTATCTTGTGATCAAAGTTCAATCCCCTTGTTGTGTTTGCCCTTGATCTAATGTCCGCATATGAGGGAGAACATACGATTCTTGGTCTTTTGGGCCAGGCTAACCTCATTCAGAATGATGTTCTCCAATTCTATCCATTTACCTGTGAATGATAACATTTCATTCTTCTTCATGGCTGCATAAAATTCCATTGTGTATAGATACCACATTTTCTTAACCCATTCGTCAGTAGTGGGGCTCTTGGCTGTTTCCATAACTTGGCTATTGTGAATAGTGCCACAATAAACATGGGTGTGCAGGTGCCTCTGGAGTAACCTGTGTCACATTCTTTTGGGTATATCCCCAAGAGTAGTATTGCTGGATCAAATGGTAGATCAATGTTTAGCTTTTTAAGTAGCCTCCAAATTTTTTCCAGAGTGGTCGCACCAGCTTGCATTCCCACCAACAGTGTAAGAGGGTTCCTTTTTCCCCACATCCTCGTAACACCTGTTGGTGGTGGTGTTGCTCATGATGGCTATTCTAACAAAGGTGAGGTGGAATCTTAGTGTGATTTTAATTTGCATTTCCTTTATTGCTAGAGATGGTGAGCATTTAGAAACAAACATTTTTAATGAAGTACTTGAGGGCAAGTTGGAGACATTCTGCCTTTTTTTTTTTTTTTTGGTGGTATTGGGGTTTGAACTTAGGGCCTTACACTTGCTAGGCAGGCTCTCTACCACTTGAGTCACTCCACCAGCTCACCTTTTGCCTTTGTAACATTAAATCCTTGAATATGTATTTGCTAAGAACAGGACATTCCTTTATATAGCTACAGTAGTTATCGGGATCCGGACTCCAACACTGATAAGGCTTCAAATGCCCAGACCACATTCCAACTTTTATCCATTGCCTAGGAACAGCTGATTATTGTCCTCCATTGTTCATTTTATCTAGACTAAGGTTTAATACTAGGTCACACATTACATTGAGTTGCCATGTCTCTTAGTCTCCTTTAGTCTGGAACATTTCCTTGGTCTTTTTTCTCTTTTTGTTTGTTTCCTGGTCTTGATATTTTTGAAAAGCATAAACTAATTTTTTTTCCAGTAGTGGGATTTGAACTCAGGGCCTTGCACTTGCTAGGAGGTGCTCTATCACTTGAGCCACGCCTGCAGCCCCTGAGCTGAAGATTTTACAAAATATCACTAAATGTAGGTTCATCTGTTTTCCCTCATGATAGAGCCAGGGACTCAGAAAGAAATTGTGTCCTCATTGTGTTACATCAGAAGGTACATGGATTCCGTTTGTCCTGACATTGGTGATGTAAAGGTCTCCCCACTATAAAGTTATTATTTTATCTCTGAAATTATTAAGTAATTCATGGTGAGATATTTTGACACCATGTAAGTCTCCTATAGCTCAGTCAACTTGTACCTGCAACAAACAACTGTAGGTAAAATTTTTTACATTTTTTTACCCATGGTAATATATTACCTAAAATTACCTTTAAATGTGATTATTTTCTTTTTATTTCTTTTTTTTGGGAGGGGGTGAGGAACTAGGGATTGCACTCAGGGTCTTGTGCTTGCTAGGTAGGCTGTCTACCACATTAGCCGTGGTTCCAGTTTCCATTCTTAATGAACTCATCATAATGACCTCATGCTTTTTAACTTTTATTCTATTAATTATAATCCATTATTATGATTTTTTACTTTGATGCTCAAAATCATCTGTCCCAGATTTGGCAATGGAAGATTCCTCAAGTGGGTGACTATGGCCTTTTGATATATTCCTATTATTCTCTGCAGACTTTTTATATTCTAAGTTACTCTAAGTTAATCTGGTCCTTTTCCCTCCTGGTATAGGGCACTTTTCCAAGAAGTTGTGATTCCTTCTAGTTGAGGATGGTGTTTAGAAACCAAGATCTGGGCTGTGGGTGTTCCCACCTGAGGTTTTATTGCTTAAGGTCCTCTCCATCTGTGTAGATTAAGCAAAATTTCTGATCTCTTGGTGGGACATACAGTGATTTATTGTGACTTAAAAGAACAGCATTCGTCCCTTAATTTCTGAAAATTAGAAAGTAATTTCACAAATGGAAAAATCATATATCTTAGAGTTCTAGGGACTTCTGTATTCCATTAAGTATTCTATAATCATTACATATACACACAAAAAAGTCTTGACACAGCTAGGGATTGATGGGGGAAGGGGACTAGAAACTTCGTTTTTATGAAGTTCTTGCAAGTATTTTGGAGGAACTGTGGTTCACTTTCTGTCTGACTTTAAAAGTTTGATATAATTGGATCTTTGGGACATCATTCCTGAGGGATATGAAGTTTTAAACCTCTGTATACATAGCTGCTGAACTTTAAATTGTTCAGGGACAATAGGTATTCCCCCCCAACCAACAAATGATTTAAATTGACATAGTATTTCATTGCTATCCTTTGATATTTTCAGTAATGTTGGTAACAGTTGATAATTTTGAAAGAAATGAGTTGCACTATTAATTTTAACATTTTAAACATGGATGTACTCATTCTTTCTTGCATATGGCTGGTTTAATGAAGTACATTATAAAACTATTTTGTTTGGAGCTGAGGGAACTTGGGGATGGGGAAATTTTTCTTGGCTACTCTTTTTAAACAATAGAAAATATCAATTCCCAGGCAACTGGGTTGATTTTTTTTCATTCTAAAACATGTTTTTTTTAGTCTTACCACTAGCACGTAGTTAAGTAGTTCTTTAAAATAACCTTTTTAATCATTTTTTTTGGTCAGGGAATAGAAATCTGTAAGAGATAATCTTTTAACTAACAAATGAATAAAAAATCAACTGTTTTTGATGGAGGAAAAATGGAACTCGAGGCAAAAAGCAAAAATTATGTTTAATCAACCACAGAGGGAGTTGAGTTGAACTGGTAAGACTGATGTATTTCCTAGACTACTACAGGGACATTCAGTGTTATTGATAGTGTTCAGGTCTGTAAGGTAAGCTGCTTGGGAACTAATGTCTAAAACAGAAGAAAAAAAAAAACAAAGGAAAAGACTTGTTCATCAGCAGGACATGAGACACAGTGGGGAGAGAAAGGGAAGACACTAATGTGATAGGATGGAAATAATTGAAAAAATTTTATGCACCTACCATAAATAAGGTAAGATATTGGCCCAACATTACTATTTTCATCGTCACCATCTACATCTGCTTTGTAGACATGGAGAACTGTGGGAAGAATGATTTTACTGACTGAAACTGAAAAAAGAATGTCAATGAGGAGAAAGCGAGGAGTGAAATACTGTAACATTAACCAGCTGGCCGAGGGATTTGTTCATGGAAGAAAGAGCAAAACGAAGGTGGCAGTGTGCATGGCTGGGGCAACAGTGTGGGGGACATTTAAGAACGTGTGTATCTGAAACTAGAATGGAGAGAATCAGAGAGGAAGGAGAACCTTGAAGGTGATAAGGAGCAATGCAAGTGCAAAAGCAAGGTAAGTTTTGGGTAATCATTTTTGATAATAATGTGACTTATGAAAAAAACCCCTTAAGCCTCTTTTTATAACTATATGATCTTTAATCCTATTTCCAATGAAATCTTAAGGAAATGTTCCAAAAGTTTAATTTCTGCATTTCCTGGGTATTTGTGGGTTTTAATGCATAAGAAGTGTATGATTTTTGGAGCTTTTTATATACTCACAAGCATATGGGTTTCAATAATGAATGAAACTGTCAGTAGATGTTATCAGTGTTTAAATCACGTGGGTTATTTTGTGTGATTTATAAATTGGCTCTTAATTGTCACCATGATGCTTTAAGCAATGCTGTTTCTTTTGCAACAAGTATACAGACCCCAAACTGTTAGCTGGAAAGGACAGAGCTAATTTTCATTGAGAACTTCATAGATGTTGGTTTAAAGTTCACTTATGTCTTTCTGTTGATGTTCCTTCTGTTTTTCCAGTGAAAATCATTGCTGGTTTTCACTGTACATGATAAGCTTTCACTGACTTGTTTATGTGGCTTACTCTTCTAATTTGTGGTCAATAAGCATTTATATTTCCTCATTCAGATACTTTCAAATCTTTATTGAAAATCTACTGTGTCAAGGATTGGATTATGAGCTGAGATGAAGGTGTCAAAATGATTTATTCTTATTTTCTGATTCACTGTTTTCTTAATTTTATTGGTGAAGAATCAAATAGATCAAACCTACTTTTCCCCCACAAGTCAATAAATAAAACTGCCCTGTAACTTCTTGTGGTAAGATTGTGTTTGTAATAGTGAAAAAAAGCTTGAGAGGCCTTTTCTAACTAAACAAATGTTACATTTTATCCAATTGTTTATGTCCTCATATGAAATGAAGTGAATATCAGAATAACAACAGGTAAAAAAAGGGAAATGCAAGGAGAAAATTACACTATTTGGAGCTTTTTTTTCCTGGAAGGATTTTCCCGATACCCAAGATTAGAGATTGTCCTCTTTGTGCTCAGCCTTATAATGTATCTGATTATCCTCCTGGGTAACAGCACTCTTGTTGTAATCACTGTTCTAGATTCACACCTTCACACCCCCATGTACTTCTTCCTTGGAAATCTCTCTTTTATGGATATTTGCTACACCTCGGCTTCTATTCCTACCTTGCTGGTGAACTTGCTATCATCCCAGAAAACCATAATCTTTTCTGGGTGTGCTGTACAGATGTATCTGTCCCTTGCCATGGGCTCCACTGAGTGTGTGCTTCTGGCTGTGATGGCGTATGACCGTTATGTGGCCATATGCAACCCGCTGAGATATCCCATCATCATGAACAGGCAAGTCTGTGTGCAGACAGCCACTGTCTCCTGGATGATGGGCTGTCTGACTGCCCTGCTGGAAACCAGTTTTGCCCTGCAGATACCCCTGTGTGGGAATCTTGTCGATCACTTCACGTGTGAAATTCTGGCTGTGCTGAAGCTAGCGTGCACAAACTCCCTGCTTATGGACATGATTATGCTGGTGGTGAGCATTCTCCTGCTGCCCATCCCAATGCTCTTAATTTGCATCTCTTACATCTTCATCCTTTCTACCATTCTGAGAATCAGCTCAGCAGAGGGAAGAAACAAAGCTTTTTCTACTTGTGGTGCCCACTTGACTGTGGTGATCTTATATTACGGGGCTGCCCTCTCCATGTACCTGAAACCTTCTTCATCAGATTCACAAGAAATAGACAAAATCATCTCATTGCTTTATGGAGTGCTTACTCCTATGTTGAATCCCATCATTTATAGCTTAAGAAACAAGGAAGTCAAAGATGCTGTGAAAAAACTGCTGGGCAAAATACTATTGCATCACACACAACTCTGACTGGGTGCCTATGGTTTTAGTTAAGTGTGTGCCCTTGGCAGAACCTACTAGAGAAATTCTAGACCCCGTATAACCCCTTAGAACTTTGACTTGAACCTTAGCTCTGTAATTTCACAGTTACGAGGCATGTGTCCACACAGTAATTGCCTATGGATAATAGTAGGTTCCATTTTTCATTTATTAATATTTCCTATCTTTGGTGCTTCACAGTTGCGAGAATTTTTGAGCTATAGTGTCATCAAATGTTTTCTTCAGAAAAAAAACTTGGATAAACTTAGTGAGTATAAGTGCCAGAAGAAACTTGTGTGTCTTCTTTGCTTAAATATTTTCTTAAATGGGGTGGGAGCATAAAGTAACAAAAAATGAATATGGAAGTAAGAAAACAGAAAAACGGAAAGACCTGGTCAATATCACATGACTGCAGAACTTTGATGAAAACGTGCACTGACTCCGTGGTCAGAGTTTTTTCTACCACTTGGTGGTGTCTCCCTAACTACCCTTGTTATTCTACACTCCTGACTAAAGCTCCTTGTCTTCCCGAGTAAGGATCCCCTGCTTGATTTGTCTGCCTGCCAGCCCTTGCTTTTCTAGGTACACATATACTTGTGCAAATTCTGTCTGCTTCTATGCCACTATACTTCTTATATACTAAGGTCTTTTGCATGTATGTTTATATTTTTTCTTCATTGAATGGTCGACTCCATAAGGACAAGTATTTCTATTATCCTGCACCTTTTATGTTTATACCAGTCCATTGGGAAATTAATAAAGTTACTAGCTAAGTAAATAAAACATTCATTTGTGAAAAAAATGCCACTGTGAAAATTATGAAGAAGAAATAGCAAGGTATATTTGCTTTGTAAATATCTAAGAAGTTACAGTGGCAATATTTAATTTAACTTTTAATTCTTTATTTGTATAGAAGTACTGCTAATTTAAAATGCAGATGCTGCCACCAAATTCACCCTCCTACACCTTTTCCTCCTATCCTCTCCCTCACATTTTTATGTAGTAAATCTTTTATCCATTTGAATTACCTTATGTACCATTAAAGTGTTTTTTATATTCACATAATGGGAGATAAGTCCTTTGTTTCAAAAAATTTAATGCCGTGGATTCCTAAGTGAAGTTATCTGTGGCTTAATGATTATTTATGTATTTGATTTTAATGAAATTAATGAGTGAAAACAAAACTTGATTATGAAACAAATAATGTGAAAAAAAATCAAAAAATATTTAAGATAGCCAGAAACTGAGTAGTCATTCTTTTTTGATTTATATAGTAATTACCTCAGGGTTTGTCCCAGCTAGTAAAAGTATAGTTATGTTTTTTTTAAACATGTATCTTTCTATCAACCAAGGAATTTAATAGTTGATGTATGAAATAGCATTTTTTGTGTCCAAAAGATATTTCCCCATTTAAAAGACTTTTAAAAATGCCTTGCTTCTTAATAAATTGAAGACCCCTTCATTCCTTCATAAAAAAAAATAAAATAAAATAAAATGCAGATGCTGGAGCCGGGCACCAGTGCCTCACACCTGTAATCCTAGCTACTTGGGAGGCTGAGCTCAGAAGGATCATGGTTTGAGGCCAGTCTTGGTAAATAGTTTGCAAGACCCCATCTCTAAATTAACCAGAGCAAAATGGACTAGAGGTATGGCTCAAGCAGTAGAGTGCCTCCTTAGTAAGCATGAAGCCCTGAGTTCAAACCCCATTCTCACAGCACCCCACAAAATACAGATGCTGTGCCCTACTCCTAATTTAGTAGCACTAAGATGGGTCCCCAATAATCTGCACTTGTAATAGAGCTTTGGGAAATTCTGATACAGGTTGTATGATGACCATAATTTGTTCCTGGCAAAAGCTATCACTCCCAAAGAGAAGTCGGATTCATTTTTATTTCTCTCTTTTTCTTTCTTATTTTACCTTTCCCTCTATTCCTCATGCTTCCACGTGTGCATTCTCATCTGCCTACCTCCCCTTCTGGAGTAGGGAAGGGAAGAAGGTTTTGAGTGGGGATATGTAAACACTCTTGGTAAATTTCAAAATATGAAAGACATTAAAAATTCTTAATATTGGGCATTGAGTTCTGAATTATTTAACTCACAGATCATTCCCTCTGCTCTGGGACTTCTATTACATGTTCACAGATGTGTAATCCACATATGAAGAGACTTGAAATAATCACATAGCAAAAGGTGGAGTAAGAGGCAATTGATGCCAGGTGTTGTTGCCTAGGGATGTCTGATAGAAACAAAGCTCTGAGTGATGGTCTTGAAGTGTTAGGGATGGGCTGGCAAGGAAGAATTTATCCCCAAAGTAATTATCTTTCTTCTTAGACACCTGGCTCTTCCCAGTCTAACTACCATAATCACCCTGGCAATTTTAATATCATTTTGGAATGAAATTTTATAGTAGGCTTTTATTAGGTTGGAGTTGAATTTAGTTTGGAGTAGAACTGAATTCTCTGCTTTTTTTGGAAATTGTTATGTATGGTACCAAAAATCAACAAGAGAGCCAGAGCTGTAGAAATGGCTGAAATCATTACTTAAATGAGCGAACTATATGAACTCAGAGACACAGAGATGGAAAAAGTCTGTAATTAATCTGCTTTGCTACAATGAACTGAGCATACTGACTTAAAACCAAGCATTTATGATTGGGATATGAACCGCAATGGGACAACAAAACAGATTAGAAATGCCCCAGATGTCCGAAGAGGACCCAGATAAGAACCTGGCAGATAGCCTCCTAGGAGCTCTTGGCTAAGACAGTAGTAGATCCAGCTGTATGTTCTACAGATCTGCTGTGAATAACAAATGTGTGTAATAAAAGTGCATTTTATGTTATATGAAATAGTCAGTTATTAGCAAACAGTACACCCCTTCCTTTGGATTGGTCCCATCTCAACCAATACTTACTACAATTGTTAGTTGTGTAGAGTCTCAGGTAAAAGATACTTTTTGGGTATCTTTTTGTCAATACTGGAATTTCAACTTAGGGCCTAGTGCTTGCCTCTACCACTTGAGCCATGGCCCCCAGTCCTTTTTGCTTTAGTTTATTTTTAAGATAGGATCTCATGCTTTTGCCTGGGGGGCCAGCATGGATCATGATCCTCCTACCTCTACCTCCCACATAGCTGGGATTATAGGCATGAGCCACCCTCTGGAGCTTTTCAGGTGCTCTGAAGAGAGGAATGCATTGAGAGAGAAGGTGGAGTTACTTCTGTATGAATGATTATATGATCAGATTTTTGCTTTAGAAAAACCTGATTATGTTATTTCTCTACCTAAATCCTTCATGTTCCTGATACTTGAAGTCCTTACAGTGACACACAAAAATTTTCATAATTTGGTTACTCACCAATTACATCCTTTGCTTTAGGCACACCAAATTTTGCAGTTTTGTGAACACATTGTCCTTTCTTTTTTTAAGAGCACTTACCACAATTTGTAATGCAATAATAATTTCTGGGTTTACTTTGTTTGATACTTTCTCTTCACCACTCTGCATGTTCATGACAGCAAGAACTGTATCAACTTCATTCGTCACTGTATACAATATATACTGTATAGCACATCTCTGCCTTAGGGAAACATTCAAAGCATACCTTTCGCGAAGGACTAAGTGCTCAGTGAACATCTGTTGAATAAAAATGTATGTCTAGTAAGCTTTTGATGGGTATTCTTGACCATTCTTATGTTGAATACCTACCTTTGATGGCGAGGAGTGGTTAAGTGGTGGTGATAGGGGTGGTGGAAGATGTCTGTCTAGACTTAAAGAGTAAAATTATTATCATCAGTATTGAGCATGGAATCTTTAAGACCAAACTTGACTTTACAAATAAAGTGACATATTGTTAAGGGAACTATACTAGAAATTGTCGTTGAAGGCCCTTGGCACACTAAATTTGATAGAAATTCTACCGATGGAGATAGAGGAATGTACTCAGAATGAAAGTGTAATTCAAACAACTCATAATTGGTTGATCTAATGAACTCTGGAAGAATGTTCAAAATAAAATAAATACTTGCTCGGTTCATGGAGAGGATTCATGCATCAGATGAATGTTTTGTTTACATGTCTCTTATAGCCTTGATTCCTTGTTTAAAAATTATAATAGGCTTTTAGCATTCCTTTTTTCTCAGCAGTATCAATAGCATACCTTTTATACTTATCCCCAAACCAGGCAAACACACCTCCAAAAAGGAGACTATAGGCCAATCTCCTTAATGAAATATTGATGGGAAGTCCTCAACACACCACATCAACTCGGGCAAACCCGACGTCAACCACCACACGTCGCAAACAAATCATTCACCACGACAAGTAGGCTTCATCCAGGGATGCAGGCGGTGGTTCAACATATGAAAATCACTAACGTACATAAAACCAAACATTAACAGAAGCAAGACAAAAACCACTGTGATCATCTCAATGATGCAGAAAAGGCTTTGAAATAAGATCCAACCACCATTTTCATGATAAAAGCTCTAAGAAAACTAGGAATAAAGGAAAGTACCTCAACATTATACAAAGCTATATATGACAGACCTACAGTGCCAGCATTAATACTCTAATGGAGAAAAACCTGAAACATTCACTCTAAAATCAGGAAACCAGACAAGGGTGCCCCTATCTCACTACTATTCACAATAGTAACTGTACCGAATTCCTGCCAGAGCATATTAGGCAAGAAGAAGGAATAAAAGGATACAAATTGCTAAAGAAATGTCAAAATATCCTATTCGCTCAGACCGGACACCCCTGCCACGGGCACCCGGCAGCCATGATCCTATACTTAAACGTACTCAAAAATACTCTACTCAGCAAAGCTTCTAGACATCACCTCACATAAGCTATAACAAGGTCACGCAGGATATTACAACAATAACGTAGAATTAAATCCATTCCAGCATTTCTTATTGGCCAACAATGACAAAGCTGAAAAAGAATGTATGAAACAATTCCACTTACAATAGCCTCAAAAAAAAATTAC